CAAACAAAATTATCCCTTTAATTATTTTTTTGTTTTCACATTACTATTATTATTTCTATTACACTAAAAAGTAATTTTAAAAGAAAAAAGGATGTATGAACATGTATCGACATATTTCATATACAATGATACATGTTTATAAATATTTATGCGTGTTTATGTATGTTATATATATTATATATGTTTATATATATATTTATATATATTCATGCATGAAAAATTTTTTATCGGATTCAGTAATTCTAAGAAAAAATTCTCTCCTCTGTAATAATATAATTAAAGTAAATGTGAGCAACGTACATTAAAAGTTACTAACTGCTCATCAATTATGTATAATTATACTGCATAGGTCGTTGCACGTTTGTAAAATACAAAATGTAAAAGACGAATTTTTCAATTCGTTGTTGACCAATCGTACGCGTATTATACGCATAGAATTGCAATTATACTTTATTGTATAAAAACTTCATTTACATATAACGCGATTAATCAATCGCAATCTAATCGCAGCTTGTTTTTCTTCTTAACCTTTTGGACGTATCGCATATAAGCTTTCTCAAATAAAAATTTTAATGGAATTTAAACATATCATATGTCATTCGTTTTTAAATAAATCTTCCCAGTAAACGACAATAGATTGAATTGGAAATTTTCAATCCATTTTTAAATCCGTATTTTAAATCCATAAAAATGAATTGGATTCTATATAAAAAAAAATTTTTATACATGTGAAAGTTAATATTTTTATTTAAATAAAGTTAAGTAATTTAAATAAATTAAAATAGTAATTATATGAAATTCTATAGTCATTATTTTAAAACTTTTATACAAAAAATATACTTTAGCTGTATAATAAAAGAAATGTATTAATATACATAAAAGTGATTAATTTATTAATTAAAAATTGGATTCTCGTTTGCTAGGATAGAAATATACTCCATGCCATAAATATTCCTATAAATAAATAAAAATGCATTCAAGATTGAAAAGAAATAGATATTTATTTCATGCAATTCCTATAAATGAATAAAAATGCATGATCAGCATTGAAAAAGATTCATTTACGAATCCGTATTTCTAAAAATCTGAATCCATTTCAATCCATTCTCGTTTGGTTGTTTCTCGCTTGTTTTGATTATTATTTATGAAAGATGCAAGACTAAAACATCTGAATGTTTTGTTTTCTATCAAAATATGTAATGTTTATGATAAAAATGTCCACAGCTCGCATTCGTACTTTGCTTTCTGAAAAATACAAACTTTCGTGAACTTGTGTTTAAGCGCGTAAAAAATAAGCGAATAAGAAGAATATTCTTTTGAAATATAATATACACGTATACATCATTCAGCGTGTATTTCATCTATTTCGATCTATTTCACGTACTCTTTCGATCACTTTTTATTCGTCATTTAAAAGTCCATATTTGACGGTCTAGTATAATTTAAGCATCAGGGATAAAAATCTGACACATTTTTGTCTACAATTTTTCGCGATGTGTATGTCGTATTATAATATAATTTATTATACATGCATTCTTTAATTATTTCGTTATGTTTTTCATGTTAAATTTTATCGCGCGTAGAACTGTCTTCTAACGAGAACGGATTTTGCTCGTCATGAGCACAGATGCGGAAATGCGCACCCCCGGGGAGAAAAATAAGGAGATCCAGTCGAGTGCGTGAACGTGTAATGTATGGCCAACATATATATATAGCGTCTCGCGGCGACGCGTTCGAGAAGCAATTCCGTTTGATTCTGTCACGTCAGACGATATTCGTTTCGATCCGAGCGAACTTTCGAACGAGGATTTAAAAGTGAAAGCTAATAAAGAAAGAAGTACGTCGGAGATTTGATAAGAGTTGATACCAGAACGTATTGTAATAGATAAATTCGATAAAAGCCTTGCTCTGTGCAGGTTATCGCCGCCAGACATTATCGAATTTTTGGATTATCGAACCTTGAACTTTATGCGAATTTTTGTGATTATCATATACAATGTAATAATAAATCACACGTCTGAATTATTCATTAAGAACACATACGTTTTTATAAATACTTGTACGTGCATATGTATACGTAAATGATGTCCGTTTTTTGGCAATCCGAGGCATTGTTCAGTAGACACAACAACTGAGTGAACGCTCGTTGTTATTGGTATTTCTTTAGATTTATCATGGATTTAAAGGTTATAAAATTCTCCAATACTTCAATCGTCAGACATATTATATGAGTGCTCACTATATGTCTGTTGAACGCTCCATCAGTCGACCAGTCGATCTCATATCAGTTGTCACTCACAAGTTAGCGGCAGTGATCGTGATTACTTCATTCAAGTAATATTTGAGAGAATTGTTTGGCAGTCTGAATGCAAATCAGTTGAATTTAATATATATAT